CACACACACACTGTTTGGGACCTCTTGCCGGGATCATTTGCAAAAGAAACAGAATCCCTCGGAACCACTCAAGCAGCATGTTGACTTGCAGGATAACGTAAGAAGATATCTCTGGGCGAAACGCCCATACCACATTGTTGTGAGTCCGAATGCTCATTCCACACTACAACAAATTAGGGTTTGATCGTGACAATATATAATCAGTTTTGATGTGTATACAAATACATGAATGAAACAACTATGAGTGCACTAATTTGCGTGACAGGTGGTATAATATATATATATACACATACATACACATGCTGCACAACAAACGTGTCTTCCATACATGCACAAAACAGCGCAAACAGTGCGTAGAAAGCAACTTTGGTGCACGATCGAGTCACTAAAAACCCGACATTGTTGTGACCACCATGCTTGTTGGAAACTGGTAGAACTGATGCGTTGGAGTTGGATTCAAAAGAGCCATGGTTTGTCACAAGACCTGGCGGTTTCACTGCTTTTAAGGGGACGCAAAGCTCTCTTTGCGCGTAAGGACGACCAAAACGTGTGGCTCATGCAGTACAAAAGGTATCCTGCTTTGTTTCTGATGTTGTTTGTTTATTTGAGATTCTATTGACAAACACATACATACATCTACTTAACCTACTTGCTAGTCTACCTCTGAGTAGGCTAAGTAGTGCATTAAAACGAGCTTTTGTATGTACATCTATAAGTAACTTATGAGTCATATGAGTCACACAAGTACAAAGGCAAGTCGAAGCAAGATAACCAAGTTAGCTTTCTTTGCCAAGAAGTGTACTCCAGTGTGGTCTTGCGTGAGTCTATGTCACTCTTTTGGACAAAGCATTGATGGAAACATTTGAAACATGGAATGTCCATCAACTGCTTGCTTGGAGATGGCCAAAAAGGCGCAACTGAAACGACACATCGGCCAAGGGACAAACATGAACAGGTGTGCATCGTTCACCGCGGTCGTCCAGGCATGGTAGGCCCTTGGATTGATGGTGTCGCGTCTTCGGAAATGTGGGTTGTTAGTTGCTTCCAACGGTTTCTTTCAGACAAGGTTACATAAACAATGAGAAACCACCCAAATTGGTTCCTTCATAGCGCGTTTAAGTTCCGTTCGCACTTTGACATCTATATATATACATATAGTTCGAAGCTTTTTGGCTGTTCTGCCATAGCCATAGTCCACAAACTCTTGAGAATTGACAGAAGAGATTGCTTGCGTGACTTTAGATTACGCTTAAGAGATCTACTTGAGAACAGTGAGGACGAAAGCGAGGGGTGTGGAAGGATCAAGGGGACTCGGAGGGAGGGCAGCAACGCAACGCTTTTGTGCCACGAGCTCAAAGTGTTGTTGGCTGAGTCAACCGAACACAAAAAATAACATCGACTGTCATATTGTCTTTTCTAGGCATTTGGTATGCTTTCTCACAAGGACGAGGGAGGAGTCGAATAGCCTCTTTCAATTCACTTCACAGGGGGGGGGGCCACCCCCTTCTTTAGACGTTTCAATCTGCAATTGAAATATCAATTCCTTTGCGAGGGGGTGGGGGTTATTGAAATAATCAATTAAAAGGGAGGGGAGGGGGGGCCCCCCCCTTCCCTCGGCTGACCCCTCCCTTTAATTAAAAGAATCAATTAGTTCACTGAACCTTTCAATTTTGAGCCTCACTATATTTCGTAAACAACAACTTCCGCTGAGCTCCTTCTGAGCTCGCTTTCGTGATCAGTTCATGGGGCTGTACATGGTTGTACAACAGTGTACATAGTGAGGAGAAAACATCTCAAAATTAATAGGGGTCGAAATGGTTGGATCCAGGTCTCTGACAACTTCTCTTAAGAACACATTCCAATCACTTCTCCTCTAGCCAGTGACCGTTGGTGATGTATACTAGCGTATTGTCAATGCTCGGAACATCTTGGACCCTTATCAGAAATCACCCACAAATCTATGTACCATCACAGTAAGTAGTGGTCAAACACTTTTGGATAGGAATCAACGGAACCAACTGATGACAGTTGTATTCAAGGATTCAATTACCACAACTGGCATTGCTGTCCACGCTTGTTTGGTTAGCCTTCCTCTCCATCGCCATGTTGCATAACCAAACGAGCGAGCAGGGTGTCGGAGTACGTCCAACGGCCTGGCCAGCGTATCAGTTGGCCGAAATGCACAGCTTTAGATTTGTTGAGGCCAGTGGAGGCAAAACAAACAAATCGTCTCGACACACCACTACTACGTATGAGTCAATGACTCAAGGTATCCATCAGTCGATACGCCCCGTAATGGATACATCTCTTGAAACCATCACTGCCATCAACGATCCAACGATCCAAGGCCTTTGAAGTTGGTGGGCATGGGAATGCTCACGGGAAAGGGGGCTGCGCCAACAGCACCGGCGAAGGAGACCACTTGCCTCAGTTCGGAAGCATCGCAAGCCAGGATGTACTATACTAGCTTCTTGTTACTAAATAGACTGTATTATTTAACACACAATTACAGTGAGTGGTTTCAAAGTAGATGGCGCAAATCCCTACATTTTCTTTACAATCTATTAGATGGAGGTCCATATTAAACCACCTCTTGGGGATTGTGCCATCGGCTCTGAAACCACTGTAAAAAAAACTGCGACAGGAATGCCATGTCCAGAGTTTTAATTTTGAACAATTGTAAAACTGCAGGTAAACACAAGGATTTCTTGGAAGATAGAATGCAAATAATGCACCCAAAGATAACAAAAGAAAAGGGCGCGCTTGCCACAGCTCTACAGAGTAGGCAAAGAAAAGGAAAGGACAAGGAAGAGGAAAAAGGAACAGGACATATGTGGTAAAGAACAAGATAGGGAAGCTGAAAGGAAAAGGAACAGGAGAGGAAACAGAAGATAAAAGGGAAAGAAACATGACAAGGAAAAGGATAAAAGCAAAAGGAATCCGACAAGGAAAAGGAACCAGGAAATTCCTTTTGTGCAGTAGAACTCCATTCCTAACATATCGTCTGTTCAAGCCACTGAATGCAGCTGGATCAGGGCGGGAAATTGCATTTACACGCATAAATCAAGTAAAAAGGACAGTGCTCAACAAGCTTTTGCTAACACTGTTTTATCTGTCTTAGGACATGTCAAAGACCCAAGTTCAAACACCCTGTAAAAATGAAGGTTGGAGTTAGAAAGCAAAATGCCATCCCCTATGAAAAGTTCAATATTGTTCCATGCCCGAAAATTCCAAGATGACATTCTAACTTTCAGTACGCCGGTATAATGCTTTATAAACCTTTCAGCCAATGTTTGGTCCGTACGGACTTCTATCAGCTACCCACTGCAAAACGGCGATGGGGCCAATGCTGAATCACTGATGTGTGTACAAGTGTGTATATATATATATATTCCACAAAGTTTTATTATCAAAATTTGTGTGAACTGTAACCCTCAAACATCCTCAACCCAAAGAAACACTCTGAAATAGATACACATGTTTTTACAAGTAGAGATTAGAGATGGGACACGCTTTTTCTTTGCGTCTCCAGCCTTCCTCCGACAACCAACTCAAAACTCAGAGATCCCATCGCTCGTTCACTGAGACAGGTAGAATGCGCACTGTTATAAAATAGCACTGGGTCCCTTTTTCATGGACAAGTCGTATCACACTAACGAATTACGTAGCTTGGAAAGTCATGTTTGATGAATTTAACAATATCAGATCCCACCGTAGTTCACCAGATGCCCACCAAAAACCTAAAACGAGGGAGTGTGTATGGAACTCCTGGCAAAGACCTGGGGGTAGAGAAGGCATTCAGGTTCGGGTATTCACCCCCTAAAATGTGTCACATCCTAAGGTGTCCCTGCCCAACCATCCATTCACCTTGCTTCGTCTTTAAAACAAAAAAACAGGCCGACAGACCTCGTTCCCGAACACCTCCGGCAGGCAATCGCCATCACATGCTGCCCAGGGGCTCAAAAATGGCCGGATTGCCATCCATCCACCAAGCCCCGGTCAGGTCGATGTTGAGCGCGGGATCCACATTCCTCGCCAGGGCGTCCCCGGACCATGCGTCCCCCACTCCGTGCAGGATCGATGTCGATGACGAAAAGAAGAGAGGGGCCTAACAACTTGGAAGGTGTGTTGCTTGTAAAGAAAACGGACCAAAAGACCAGTATTAAGCTTTCAATGAAGAGGGGGGCAGCTGGATTGTTATTTGAATTGTTTGCTCACCCCTGCTTCATCTGCTTTGGTGGAGCTTCAACAAACATATGGAGCCCTCACGCACTCTTTGGAATATGTTGCTTTCTGGCCACATGTTGGTCATCTGGATTCTGGACCCCATGTCTCAGTGGAAGTAAAGGATTACATTCCAATAACCACACAATATCTAGAAAAGTCAAACATGGAAACATCACATTCCCACTAAAACACCTGCAACATCCTGCTAAACCCACTCGTAACATAAACTAAAACCTCTTGAACGACATGTCGATCGATCTTAAAAGGGGCATCCGTCTGGTGTCTCGGGGCCCTCGTCGGACGGAGAGAGGCACATCCCTTTGGAAGTGAGAGGCACATCTGTAAAAGAACAGAGGCATGGAGCATGGACATAGATGAAAAAGAACATGCAGAAAATAGAAAATAACATTTAAAAAACAACTATAAATGCACCACCTCCTGTGCAGGAGTAGATACTGTAACAGTAGATGTAGATTGTGTAGAAGTGTAGATAGTTGGGGATCTCTAGCTCTCCAGTAGTGGAGGATTTCTTCCGTAAGTAGCAGGACATTCTCCTAGATTCTCTAACTGAGCTGGTGAATGTCCTGCCGGTGCAGGATTTCTTCAATGATACCCTCTGCTTGGTCCCAGTGTCATGTTTAACGACGTGCCCATCTCATAGGGAGTGATCGTACCATCCTGGGGCGATCGCAGCGGCGACGACGGGCGAGCCAGCAATGGCGCTGGAACGACTCTCGACTGGAAATGGGTTTGGGGTTTCAGTGAGAGTGTGATGTAGGTTGGAAGCTTCCTGAGACATCAGAATTTCTGGGTGCAATGAGGTAAAGATAGGTAAAGGATAGTAAAGGATTCCTCCAATACCCGCTGCGTCCCCCGAAGAGCAGCTTCTCAACCAATGGGGGGGTGCTTTTTCTGCGTTGCTTCTCACACGGAAATGAACCACAATCCGATTCACCTACTGGGACTCTCTGCGGTCACACGACTCGCTGCTGCGGTCCAAACGGGAGAGCGAATTCAATGGCTCCAACAGGTCCAACGGGTGAGTGACAGTCAAATCATGGCATCTCGCTGGTCCATCGTATCTGGATCGTCATAGACATAAGATGTTTAGGTATGGTGTGGAGTGTGTTTTGGGCTCACGAAAGGAACTCCAGGGACACAATTTGATACCTATATTATATGTATAGGTATGTTAGTATACATGCATCGGGTGGTGCAGGAACTTCGCGAATACCCAAGCCCTTCATCGGGTAGTGGTGCATCTGAAGAACCCAAGTCTAGCCTAAAGAAGTCTATTGCTCCGCGCACGTCCAAAATCGTCAAAATCTGGGCTTTCCCGATCCACCGGTTGCCTATATTCAAAACTCTCTTGCTTTGCTTACTTGGCCCCTTTCAGAGTTGGTTTTGCCTGCAAGGTGCCTATGAGGTAAAGCACGGGACCGAAGAGAAGAATGGCAACATCATTATATCAACCTCCTATTACAATAAAGTGTATGTCATTCACAACTTCCTACCAGTACGATCATGTTGCACATAGAAAAAGTTCAAAAAACACATATGTTCCACACTCGACTGGTGGACATGTCTTCCACTGGGCGCTCCAAACCGCGATGGCGTTGGACGCCAAGATATGTTCCACCTCGCTCCAAGGCTCGTTGCGGCTCGTTGGACCCTCGGTGTTTGCCGAAGGTCCGGGGGTTCCAAGTTGGGTGGGTCGATGTCCAATGAAACCATCGCTCCTGGCCTTAACAAGTGCATCGCTACTACTAACAAGTGCATCGCTACTAGTAACAAGTGCATCGCTACTAGTAACAAGTGCCTTACTAGTAGTAACAAGAAGTTAGAAACAATTTGGAGTTTTTGAAGATGATTCACTGCTTGATGGAGAAGTTCTACGAAGTCACAGACTACTTAGTCCAGAATGGTTCAGTCGTGAGTTGTAATCCGCATTGATTCCATTTGATTCCCATATAAACAAGGATGCAATTGGCTGACTCTTGATGCATACACACTCCCTTGCAGAAGAATCAAAACTCAAACAAACTTGAAGAAACTGTCCTCTTCTGAAATGACTTCAGCAGTGTTGGGTCCAGTCTTTTAGAAAGTGTCACCAATGAAGCTGTATAGCTTTCAGAAGAATCCGAATCTTCTGTCAGTCGACGTAAGATGAGTGCCCATGTCTTCTGGTATATCCTGGTATCTATCCCCTGTATTTCTCCTAGACTCCTAGTATCTCAAGCCAAAAAACACAAAGGTCTTGTGGCTCTTCCTGTTTTGGCACCGCCCACGATGGCGTCCAGTCACAGGAAAGGTGGTCACGCCGCATTGCGTGGTCCAAGTGACCAGGAGGACCTCGTCACGCCGCTCCGACCGGGCCACGCGAACAAAGCTTCCAAGTGCCGGGCAGGCACGCTCTGAAGCTGAGAGTTGGTGGGTTGCAAATTGGAAATTGATCAACACCAACTCTCTTGCACCAGTCTTCACTCACAAATAAGAGGCTCCCTGGAAAGAGGGAAATGGAGGTACGCAGTAGGTATATGTTGACGGGAAAGTAAGAGTCCAACACGACGGATTGGGTGCCTCCACCTGGAAGAATCATCTATCAACCACTGTGACGGGAACTCACGTTCCGGGAACTCACGTTCAGGTAAACATAGGACCACGTGAATCTGAAGTATATACAACTCCAGGTGCAGCTGGGTGTTTTGTTTGGAAACGAACAATCTGCGGTCAGGAGCCTTGACCCCCATGCTATCCTTCCATTCATGGAGCTTTACTAGTTAGAGGGTAACGGAGCAAAACCCCGAGACTTGCCACTGGCAGAAATATAGCAGTTTGGGATAGTAACGGGAAGTTCCACAATTCGTTTCATGGATTTTGCACCCAAATCGATTACATTGGTGACAGCGTTCCAGCTAATTAGAGGCCCTGAGTGTCACAGGATTCAGGAGTCCAGCCCTCAGACAAAAAAGTTCCAGTCGTCAAATCCTCCTTTTGGCAATCCAGAAGAACGTCCAAGTACAGTAAATAGACGTGCATCCCCCTGTTTCGTGCCTTTCGATCCATTTGGGAACCGGATAGGATACTCACGTACCACAATCATTCATGCTCTATGATTATGACACTTGCGAGAGGCCCATAGGATGAAGACTGTGCAGGTGCCACAGCAGCACCAGTAGCATTCACAACAGGCCGCACAGCATCCTGAAGAAGGGAGGGCTGGCAGCTGGAGAAGGCACGGATCCAAGTAACATGTACAAGTTATTTCCATGTGTATATATACAGTATGTATATATATAATGAATGCATGTGTATCATTTGTTGGATGGTTTAGATCTTTTCAGGGATGTGTAGGGTAGCTTCCTTGAAACCTAGGATGTACCGTATCATTGTACCCTCTTTTGCTACTTGAGGTAGCGATTTGCAGGGATGCAACTGGATAGTGGTACCATCCACTCGGATCCCCACTCTGAAAGGCGTTGGATCTAAATGCAAACTCTGGATGAATTTAAGAGAGCTCCACTCTCTGCTTTGTGCTCAGTCAGCCCTAGCTTCTGCCCCTCATGTTCGGGCGCCGGATTGGATCTAACTGGGTTTTGAGCTGGGGGAAGCTTTTCGGGGAAGACGTTCAGGAGAGCAACAAAATTCAGGAAAAGTCTCAGTGTAGTTGATGAGCTATATATACATCGCTATATATGTCCATCCGAGCATGCCAAAGGATACCGGAGCTCAAAAAGCATGCCGGCATTGCCGGTTCTATCATTTTCTACACGTAGAATGTAGACGCTTGATAAACAAAACTCTCTATAATATCAAAATAATTACTTTATCAGAATATAAGTCACATGTTCTTGAGAAAACGTATACAATTCTATGATCAGTTTCGTCATAATCCTTCAACCAACCATGTTTACCCTTCTATAGCCAGCTGCTTGGCTTTTCGGCTGAACCGTGTCAGACTCTCCAGACTTTCGAAGAACCGACAATCAGACTCGACTCTTCACCCGTGGTCCTCCCATTGGCACTTCCTCATTCTTCTCCAAAAGGGCCTGCACTTTGACTGAACATCACTACACTCTGACAAACACATTACCTGGAGGACGACTTTCCGAATACCAGGGGTTTTCAACTGGGTTTTCACTCCACTTCCGCGTCACGTGAGTTCAAGCGGCTTGGCGATTCATCGGCTCCGACCGGGGAAAAACCTCTCATCTTCGTCCGACGGCCCGACGGCCCGACGGCCCGGGAGGCGAAGAAGAGGGACCCATATATGGACGAGCGACCGCATATGATGCTATTTAGAAGCCCTGTCCTGGCAACCTCTCTAGGTTGTACTGTTCAGCACTGTACGAACATCCATGTACGAGGACCCTCGCTGAGTGTTAAAACATGAACGTTGGTAATTGCTGGTCCGCAAAGGATGAAACGCACAAAACGAGAAGTGTACACTCGACAGCCGCTTTTATGCTCGAAAATAGGAGCGTTGAACCTTGCAGGTTATGAGCCCAAGGTCGCAGGTGTAAGACCTTCCGGCAAGGGGAAGGCAGCCCTTCGCTCTTCGCAGCCATGGCGATGATGGCAAGGCGCCGCCGGCAAGCTCCAGGCGAAGGTGGAGAAGAAGACCCTGATGATCAGGGAGGCCTTCACCTACAAGAGCGGCAGCTAGAAGAGGAGCAGCTGGCGTTGGAAGATGGTGAAGAAGAAGGGGAAGAGAAATTGGAAGGTCCGAAGGGACCGCCGACCACGTTGACACCGATGACCCCACTCTTCACGCCGGAACAGCTGAAGGGACTTCATGAAGTGCAGAGCCAAGCTCCTCACTTGTATGCTCAAGTCCCGAGGCAGAGCATTTGGCAGCCTGGAATGCGAAACAGGTCGCCAGAGGAGGTGCAGAAAGAGAGACCCACGTTCCTGCCGAAAGAAGAAGGTGCAGTGGGAGTGCTTCCACAGACGAGCACAACGACGGGGACACCATCACCGGCACTGGTGGGCGATCATGTACCAGATGACCAGCGACGTGGACGAACAAGAGAACCACGGGTACCTGAAGTACAAGAGCCTGAAAGTGACGGCGATGGGCGACAACCTCCCCAACCTAGAGAGCAATCGGTGGTTCAGATCCAAGGGAACGGGCCTGGAGGAAGAGGTCTACATGTTCCGAGAGGCTTTGGACAAACTGGCCCACCTGGGTACATCATGCCCCATGAAGAGAGGAGGGGACCTATGCCGCATCAAGGAGGATGGCAAGTTCAGCTACATCCCTATGGCCCTGGTCCGCCGAATCCACAGGAGATGATGACCATGTTGGCGATGTTGAAACAGGAGAACCAACAACTGCAGATTCAGCAGGCAGAGCTCATGGACGCCATGAAGTACCAAAGGGCAAGCCTGGAAGCCAAAGTCCATGACCTACAACGTGAGCTGGAGCAGCAGGCTTTCAGAACGCCAGAAAGCGATGAGCCTGTGAATCGTCAGCTGGAATTGACGGTCGACGAGCCTCCGAGAGAGACAGATTTGGAGGTGGAAAGACGCCGGCTGTATGAGTTGACTCCCATGCAGCAGTTCGAGCAGCTCCAATCCTTGATGGGGACGGTCACTCCGGCGCCAGCAAAGCGAGGTGGTCGGGGGCAAGGACAACGAGAGAGGTCGAGATCTCAAGGTCCGAGGACTGCACGTCAGGGAGGAGGTCAACCTGAGGGCTTGGTGGCATCTCGGGCGAAGGGCTTCGAACTGGAAGGGAGACAAGGGACCGGGAAAGGCGTGGGTCAGCCAAAGAAGAAAGCCACAGCCGAGCAGCCTGGTCGATCTTCAACTGCAAATGTTCGGGAGGAACCATCAAGAGAGCACGGTGGTGGCATGGCTGATGCGATGTCTATGCTGATCACCTACCTGGTCGACAAGGACAAGAAGCAAGAAGGACCGGAGTCGGTCAAGCCGGGGACGGCCACACTCCCAGTCCTGGCAGAGCCATCCGATACGGCTCCCATCGACCTTGCTGACTGGCTCACTATGGTGGAACCGGCTATGACAGACCTTAGCGACTCGTCAGGCGAGTGGTGGGAGTTGGTGGTGAGCGAAGCAAGGGCTTGGTACAACCAGTACATCAAGCTTCGTCCAATTCAGCGGGCATCATCCAAGATCGAGCCGTCTGCTGAGTTGCAAAAGCCGAAGTGGGCTCGAGTGGAAAAGAGGGCCATCAGCATGCTGCTTTCTTCAGTTCCCACGACAGTGAAGGAGGAACTGGTAGCAACGAGGACTTTGTCGCCGCTGGGGCTGGTGAGCAAACTCATGGTCCTCTATCAACCAGGTGGTGCTCATGAGCGCACCATCATCCTGCGGCAACTTGAAGATCCGCCAGAAGCAGGGTCGCCAAGCGAAGCCTGCATGGGGCTCCGACGCTGGATGCGCTGGCTGAGGAGGGCCACCGACATTGGCCTGAATCTTCCTGATGCGATCATCCTCATGAAGGGCATCAACAAACTCAGCAAGCGGATCCTCACTCAACAACCGGATCTGCAATTCAGATGTGCCTTGGTCAAAAACACCTTGCAGCTTGATACCATCCCCAATGAGGAGACTGTTCGGACGTATGCTGAGCATTTACTTGCTGAACTTGAACAACTCATGCACCGAGTCCGACCGTCTTCGAGCACTACGAGGCCTGGAAATCAGGGAGGTGGACCATTGGCAGTAAAGGCACTACAAGGGGAAGATCGAGAGAAGAAGGGGGACTCACCAACGACATCGGCGAAGGGTCCTTGTCGATACTTCCTCACGGAGTCTGGATGTCGAAGAGGGCAGTCGTGCAAATGGGCACATCAACTGGAGACTGGCGACAAGCAGAACCAGGAGAGAAGGTGCTTTACGTGCGGGGCCACACAACATCTGGCTCGAGACTGTCCGAGGAAAGAGACGGCAAAGAAGGGAGAAGGACCTCCATCTGGCCAGAAACCGAAGCTTCAGAAGCTGCTGGGCAAAACTGGTGGTGGTGGAAATGTGACCTCGCGGAGTGAGTCGGGGGCTTCAATTTCCCCTCAAGCAGCATCCTCGCAGTCGGTGACTTCGGAGGCGGTATCGGATGCAGCGACAAAAACTGCAGACCCGATCAAGAATGTGCTTGATGAGGCGCACAAGTTGCTCAAGGGCATGAACCTCGAAGAAGAAGGGCAAGATCGTGCAACGGACCTTGGTGCGACGTTGAAGAAGCTGAATCGAGCATGGGAGAAAGGTGGCCCAGAGCTACGGGCAGTCAAGATAGCTCGAGTCCAACAAGGTCGAGAAGGACTTCTGGATTCGGGGGCAACGCACGCTCTGAGGCCCAAGCTCCGAGGAGAAGATCTTCAGAGATATCGTCAGGTGAGGGTGACGTTGGCTGCTGGAGGAGCACAGGACATCCGAATGACAGAAGGGGAGACGCTGGTCCACAACAGTGAGAACGTGGAGCCGATCGTCCCGGCCGGAAGACTCGTTCGCGATTTGGGATGTCGAATCGAATGGATGGGAGAAGCGTGCACCTTGGAGCATCCGGTCAAGGGCAACATTGACCTTAGAGTTGAAGCTGGATGCCCTCAAATGGACCATGACGTTGCGTTGGACCTCATCAGGGAGCTGGAGGAATCTCGGTCGAGAACGGCGTTGAGGTGCTACCGATTTGGGGAGACTCACAATGACGTCGACTGGCTGGACCGGGTGGTGGCAGATTGTCCGATCTTCGACAAGCTCCCGATCCGAATCAAGGATCGCCTGGTGGACTCTCCAGCAAGGAATCTGGAGGTCCTTGGAGTCAATCGACGCATCCGCAAGCGCTGGAAAAACGAGGGTGTCGTGGTTCATCTCTACGCTGGGGAGAATGAGGGCTACGACCTCACCAGGGCTCTCAAGGAGGCGGGCGGAGACACTACGAGATTGTTGGAGGTGGACATCCTTCGAAACCAAGGTCATGACATGTCAAAGGACGATGCAATGTATGCAGCACTGCTGAGGATTGCAATGTTGGGCTGGATTGATGCGGTGATCGGTGGACCCAACTGCAGGACCCGCAGTGAACTACGACATCATCCAGTCACAGGACTACCAGGGCCATCGAGATCGTTGGGAAGACCCTGGGGCTTGGACGAGTTGGATGAAGTAGAGAGGGCAAAGTGCCATTTGGACGATGTGCTGCTGTTGCGTATGGTGACGC